TTAGATGTAACGCCGTGAGGTATTAAACCTGAGATTTTTAACACACAGTTTTCGTATAATTTAAACTCTTACAGGCCAAATTCTTTTACCATCAACATTTGATCACCTCAAAAATATGTAAATTCATCAAATATTCAAATATATTTTTCGGCAGTCTATCAATAATCAATTAATCAAAAATCATATTTTTCTCTCTTCTAATTACTCACTAAAAATACTACAAAATACCTGTAATTTAACACATTTTTTTTTTGAAACCATCATCGAACACAACGAATCTTCAATCTTCATAAACAAACCTCAAGCGAAAAAGCAGATATCGTTTTGGAACACATTCGAACACTTTTGCCAGAATCGAACATCCCCACGTCAGAGGGTGGCACTGTATCTGATGCCCCTCATCCCAAACCTGATAAGTTTTCTTCCCAGCAAAGCGGCGAGATTGGCAGGAAAGTTGGCGCTACAGGCTGCCGCCAAATCCTTGGGATCGATTGAGGGGATTGCTCGTGTACCATAGTAAGTGTCAAGCAAAAAGTGGGAGAAGAAGGATTTGTGGAAACGAGGTTGGGTAGAGATATATAGACGACCAGAAAGTCGGTAATTGGCACGATTCTGGTAGAACTGGTGTTGGGTTACGTGGACGGACGATAATAGGAGACCAGTTGAGTTTAATCGTAACCTCCATTATATCGTTTTCATTGCTCTAGGTTTTCTATTGCGCATAGCTAACTCATTGTGGTTAAAAGAAGGACATATGTGTTAATATAAATTCTAAACACTTAATATGCATACGTATTATTAATAAATATATTTATACAGAATAATAAATATAATCATTATAAAAATATTATTATTATGAAAATTTGATCAAAACGGTTGAATCATGTTTATCCATATAAAATCATACATTCCATTATGCTTTATAATTTTCAAATAGTAAGTTTGGTTTGTCACTCTACGGTCTTTTTTGCACATTTTAGGCTAACTAGACCGGGGACCTATGGTTTAAAGTTGATTCCGAACCACTAACAAACATCCATGCCACCGTCATGATTCGTATCTCAGCTCTGTGTTATTAACTGGAGCGCTAGCCAGTTGACCATTAGGCTTCACACCAGTGAAGAATTGATTTGAATTCTCGCTTTACGGTCATTATGTGTGCAAAAGTGAAGCTAACTAGACCGGGACATACAGTTTAACATGGAACCGAACAATTAACAAATAACCATAACACCGTCACAATTCGACCCTTAAGCCTGTGGCGTTAAGCGTTAGCAAATTGGCCATCAGGACGCTTAAGTGATAGGAAACTGCAGAAACCAGTATCGTATATTCCTTTTTTTTTAATTTCTAATCAAATAAAATAAGCATCTATTTTATATAAGCAAAATTGATTGAAATAAAATGCCGTATTTAAGCATTTTATGTTAATGAATAGCGTTGGGTTACGTGGACGAACGATAATAGGAGACCAGTTGAGTTTAATCGTATCTTCCATTATATAGTTTCCATTGCTCTTGGTTTTATATTGTTCACATCCAACAATTTGTGGTCAAAAGAGAACATGCTTAGAATTAATGTTATTAATAAATTTATTTATCCAGAATACTAAATATAATCATTATAATAAATTTAATAATTATAAAAATTTGATCAAATCGATTAACCCCATTAAATTATACAATTCAATATGCTTTATATATCGTAAAATAATTCGTTTGGTTTGTCGCTCTATGGTCATTTTCTGCAGTCTTTTTGTTAAGTTCAGTTTATTTTTTGCAGTGTTTTTGAGTCTGCGGTACTTGTTTGAGTACTACATTGAGTACTGTGGTACTGCATTGAGCTTGATCGTATCCTCAATTATATCTATTTCACTGCTCTTGGTTTTCTATTGTTAATATACAACACTTTGTAATCAAAAATAGAAAGACTTAATACCTGTATTTAGAATTTACATTATTAATAAATATATTTATGCAGAATACTAAATATAATCAATATATTATAATCGTTTTGATGAAAACTTTACAATAATTATATTTAAAATTTTCATTAAAACGATTAACCACATTAAATCATACAATTCAACATGCTTTATGTAGCTTCAAATAATAGGTTTGGTTTTTGTCTATCTATGGTCTTTTTTTTGCACATTTTACGCTAAATAGACCGAGACCTACAGTTTAACGTGGATACCAAACCACAAACAAACATCCATGCCACCGTCACTATTCGAACCTGAAGCCTGTGGTACCAAAGGCCATAGCGTTAGAAAATTGGCTATCATGGCATTGCAATAATAGGAAAATACAGAAATCAGTATCGTATATTCATTTTTTAATGTCTAATGAAATAAAATAAACATCTATTTTTATATAAGCAAAATTAATTAAAATAAAATGCCGTATTTAAGCATTTTGTGTTAATGAATAGTGTTGTGTTACGCGAAATAACGATAATAGGAGACCGGTGGAGTTTAATCGTATCTTCCATTATATCGTTTCCATTGCTCTTGGTTTTCTATGGTTCCCATCCAACAATCTGTGGTTAAAAGAAGCAAATGTTCTTAACAAAAGTGTTTAGAATTTGAATTATTAATAAATATATTTCTGCATAATACTAATTTTCATTATAATAAATATAATTATTACAAAAAAATTATCAAAACGATTAACCACATTAAATCATACAAATCAGTTATGTAGCTTCATATAATAGGAAGTAATGAATCAGTATCGAATATCTATTTTTTATAATGTCTAATTAAATAAAACACGCATTTCTTCATTGCAAATACATTATTTTATTTTAATAAATATTGCTTATATAAAATAAACAAATATAAGCACAATCAATCGTTTGGAATTCAAGCATATGAAATCATTATTTAGTGTACACATTTTAAACATACCCAACTAATAGGTTTGGTTTGTCGCTCTACGGTCATGTTTTGCACAATTAGGCTAAATAGACCCGGACTTACAGTTTAATGTGAATTCCGATTCACTAACATACATGCTACCACCAAGATTTGAACCTGAAGCCTGTAATACCAGGAAAGAGCGCTGGCCAATTGGCCATCAGACCATCAACTAACAGGAGTGTTCATTATAAATAGAATAGAAAAAAATAAAGACAACCAATATTGATGCTATGTACATGACTTCATAAATCATTTTACAATATAATAAGTACATGCTAAGATTTTATAATTATGGACCTAAAGATTTAATAGGATACATACTAAAATCTAGGCACAGTGATGTGGGTGTGGTTGTGTAGTTATAGTAGAAGTATGACTACTTCACCAGGTTAAATATGCCCGCTTTGGTAAAACTTTTGCTGGATGAAGTCGAAACTGTCACTACGACTATCGTGTTTCTTTCTATCGGTGGTTCTATTTTCTTGTTAGCCGCAGCTTTTGATGGTTCGAGAAATATTGATCAATCCATTCAACATTTATGGAATCTTCATTTATTTACAAGCAATATTTACAAAGATATACAGGGTTGATGGGTAACAGTTACAAAGGCAAAAGCTAAACTGGAAGACAAAAGTTCTTTTCGAATAAAACAATTCGTTTCCACAGCAACAGCTGGTCTCTACGGCAACATCTCGTTTCCACAGCAACCAACAGCCCGTCTCACGGCAACAGCTCAATTCTGAATCTGTTCCAAACGATTTCTATTAAACTACCACGTGACGCTGCGTGGCGCGAACTAAAGTATAAAAATTCCAACAGAAACTGCCTGCTTCACTCCTATGTCCGATAGTAACCTTCGACCTTTCAATGACTTTTTAAATAACCTGAACTCTTGAAAATGCATGGTGAGAGATCAAGAAGTTAAGGCAGGTGGTCGAATGTCTTCCACCTTATAGTGTAACTTCTGCGTTACGATATTTGCGATAAGGGGAGGTGCATTATTAGAGTTTTTGCATGCCGTATTTGGACGTCCGTTAGCTTTTCTCCCTGGCGCGCATCCTCATAAGAAATACTCTCTATTAATAAACTCTCACTCTCTATTAAGAAACTCTCACTCTCAAAATAAGCAAAAACTCTCTATTAAGAAGCAGAATCACAGTAGTTTTCCCGGGCACTCCGCCTTTTTTCCAACATTTTGAAAATGTTGGGAACACTTGGACCATTGAAATCAATAAGCGCGTTTGTCCTGTTTGGATGCATTTGGCGCCATGCTAAGGCGCCATTGGTAATGTCTCACCTTTTCCACACTTCGGAAAAAATCCGAATACCACATGAATCCCCTGTGTAGATGTGCGTGCTTCAATACAGGTATCGGCGATACTCTAATTTGCCTATAAGCTGCAGCAACGTCTTCTAAGGGAATTTTTGTTCACCCCTTAACATGTTAATGATGGTTACTTAAAAGATTTTAGATACACAAGTCTCTTACAATTTGAACAAAAATGATTTCAAAGGCAAATACACTCAAGAGCCAAAACATTATGACCACCCTACATTTTGCAATGAACTCGTCTGGATGACGTGATTAGGTGGAAGTGGTATTTAACTGCTGCTGGAGAGTCTGAAGAATCATTCTTTCACTTACTTCTGTGTGTGATGGGAACACACACAGAAGTAAGTGAAAGGTGACAGGTGGTCATAATGTTTTGGCTCTTGAGTGTAGGTGAAAATTATTACAAAATGCGAAGGATATATTTAATTTTTTTTTGCCTCATTTAATTGTGTTGTTATTGTTTCTTATCCCACTTGGCTGGCCAAGCCCACGAGTCCATACGTACTCATGAGTGAAAGGGGAAGGAAGCAGCTTCTGTTGTGATGGAGCACCCGTAGATAGAAGTCTGACTTTGGCTCCGTGACGCTCTTACTGTCATAGGAGACCGGGACCTACGGCTTAAAGTGGATTCCGAACCACTACAAACATCCATGGCACCGCCGGGATTCGAACCCGAAACCTGTGGCACCGAGCGCCAGAGCGCTAGACACTCTGGCCATTTAGGTCCCAAATTTGTGAATGCCAACGGCACGCGTTGTTCCCCAGGTGGTCACCCACCCAAGTACTGACCGCGCCCAATGATACTTGACTTCGGTGATCTAACGAGAACCGGTACATCATTTAATTGTAATTCAATTTAATATATCTCCATATTGAGACCATTCTTCTTCAGTGGTAAAAAAAGCCCATGGTGGACAAAGGTCATCTGCCTACTGGTAGATTTTGAGACAGGAGATGTTTCCGTTTTACGTGGTAAGTTTTAAGCCCTATTAGTCCTCCAACTCAGTCATATTAGTTCTACTACTACCACCACACCACATCACATCACTGTGCCTAGAGCTGAGTTGCCCATTTACGGTTTGGGAATGATTTGGGGGAGAAGTCTGATTTGGTCTATTAGACACCATAGTCTTATTAGAACCGAGACCTACGGCTTAACGTGGATTCCGAATCACTACAAACATCCACAGCACCACCGGGACTCGAACCTGAAACCTGTGATACCGAACGCCAGAGCGCTGGACGCTTGTCATTTAGGTCCCTAGTATATATTCTATTTATGGAATAATTAATAATAATAAGTCTTTGAATGTTTAAATAAAGTAAATACTTGTGTAACCCCCAAGTTATAAACTGTGTCAGATTATTTAATATATTTAATAATTTTAACAGCTTGATACATACATTAACCATACTAATTACTACGAAGTTTTAAAAACAGCAACATATAAAACTCACCTTCATCGAAAACATTTCTTTTTTTTTAATTTTGAGGAGTATATATTACCCGTAGATTGGTCGTTTAATCGAGCGGAAACTGGATTTTTAAACTAATTTGTTTAATATGCATTAAAATATATTAAACTTTATTAAAATTATAAGAAGCTGTGCTAGGTAATGCTGCTATGAAATAGTTAATTATGGTCTGCAAATTAGTTAATAGGACATAGCACTATGCCTTAAGAAATAAAGTATATCCTGTCTCGAAAGTTGCCAGCAAGCAGACGGCCTTGCCCCACCCAGCGGGCTAAAGCACCAATGAAGGAGAGGAAGGGAAAATTAGTTAATAATATATTTAGTAACGCTGCTGTAAATTAGTTTATAATAATATTAATAATAAAGAGTAACATTATTTTTTAGACAAAATATATATTGAAATATACAGGTATAATGATGAAGTTATAATCTTTGAATATTAATCATTTAATGATAGGTCATTTCAAACAAATGGTAAATATATATTTGGTTGGAAAAAAATATTCCACATGATGTACATAACGTAAAAAGTATTTCAGACAATACGAAACAACTTTTACTAAAGTATACTTAATCATAAACCACATTATTATTTTTTTGTCTAATGCAGCTGGCAAACACTTAGACAGTTGTTTTCGATGCCTTAAGGCAAACGTTGCACTGACGTTACTCACTTAGCACTACCCAGGATATGTGTGTAGCTTGAAGATAGATATTTCGGACGGGGAGTAATAATACCGCCGCAACGCTCCATGATCCTATTAGACTGGGGCCTACGGTTTAAAGTGGATTCCGAATCACTACGAAAATGCATGGCACCGGCGGGACTCGAACCTGAAATCTGTGGTACAGCGTGCCAGAGCGCTAGCCTCTCGTCCAATAGGCTCCATAAATGACATTAAATTGCTAAATTATAAAAAGCCAAATGCTAAATTATATTGTATTATTTTTATATTATATTGTATTATTATTTTATTATTGCTAAATTATAAAAATAATTGTAAAAAGTTAAAGCGCGTCTTACATGCGTCTGAAAAAGTTTAGTGGAAGTTTGATTTGCAAATTGTGTCAATTCGATTCTAAACCTATTAAGTGATAATGATTCGAAAATTTCGTAACCAAGCATGAAAAAATTTTTGATCCACCTATTTACATTTTGATCCTGAAGTCTAAATTAATTAAGTCCTTTTTAATGATATCGAGGACGACTATAAAAGGAAACGATCCTAACGATACCTTTTGTGGTATTCATTCAAAAATAGGGATTCAAAGTATACCACAGTGTATATCATTCGTATCATCATTAATAGCTATACATTAATAGCTATAATTGATATACATTGTATATATCCCTGCCACATATTCTTCTGGTTGCAACACAGGGTATGAATCGAGTATGAATGTTCCATTTCAATGGCAAATAAAATACAAACAACCCATGGAAAACTTTTTATTTGTGTAAATGTGCTTCATCCTACACACTGGCAAGACCGCCTCCCTGTTGCGTTCAGGAGAAATGGTCAGGCGTCGAAATTCCCACCCTAGAGGAAGTACAGCACAACCTGCTCTTCTGCTAAGAAACGTTTTGTTTACCGTCTCTCACCCCGAGAGGAAATATATTTAGCGCATCCTAGCGCATAAGTTAACTTATAAGTTCCTCACCCGAACTCTCAAACTATTTCGAGTACATTGCGCGTAGCCGAGTTTTCTCGGGGTTTTGGCTTAGAAATGGAGTCCTTCCACTAATCACCACATTTTCAGATAGAAAACAAAAAAAGTAATGTAAAAAAATTTTAAAGTCAATTCCTACTTTTTTTTTCACTCGAAATTATTGCAGAAAAGTCCTTTACAAATAATTTTCATTCATTTTTTTTTTGTTTATCCGGCGCCATCTATTGGCGGCGCCATCTATTGGTAAGTCGGCGCCATCTATTGGTATATTGCAACTTAAATCTAAAAAGCTAAAATTAATTGAATTAAATTGAATTTAATTACTGAATTAATATTTAAAAAAACTGTATTAACGTCCAGTGTCATCCACTACAAGTTCAAAAAAATGTATTTCAACTTGACTGGATGAATAAAAATTGTTTTATTAGCGATTGAAAATTTGAACAAGATATATATAGGGAGAGTGTGAGCTAATAGAAGGAATTGAAAAAAAAAAAAGATAGCAAGCCATGCTTACTTACACTTACATTGAAAGAGCTCCATTCTGTGACGTTCAGGAGAAATGATCAGCTGGTCTAACCCGGAGAGGAAGTATATTTCGCGCACCCTGCTGGTAACCGAGTTTAGGTTTTATAGTTCGGTTTTCGGTTTAAAAGTGGAGTCCTCCTTAGAATCTAAAATTATCTGTGTTTAAATGTTGTGCTTATTGTATGTGTGTGTGAGTTTGTGCTAAAACTGTGATTTCCCAACCTGTGTCTCAAAGTACACCTCAACCCAATTTACTATCCGATTGCTCAACCTGCACGCTGCATTTATTAATTTCATTCTGATTTTATAATTGCAAATTCTTCAAGAATTTTTATAATGCAAAAGTAAGAAATCCTTAAAATGATAATTTCAAATCACCACAAGTATTCGGAAAAAGATAATGGTAAATTACAATCAAACACTTGTATGTGATTTGCTATTCACAGTATAGCAATTACATTGTGAATAGAAAATTGTAGATATTCAATAATGTCTTGTTAAATGCAATTTACGATCTTAAAATCATTTCACATACGAAATCAACATTTATTTAAAAAAAAAAAAAAAAAAAAAAAAACATTTTAAAAGTGAAAAATAATTCATCCGAATCAAAAAATTCATTTTCAAACTAAAAAAAAAACATTTATATATATATATATACAATAGATATATTTATACACAAGTATTCGGAAAATATTTATGGTAAATTACAATCAAACACTTATATGTGATTAGCTATTCACAGTATAGCCGTGTGAATGGAAAACAGCGGATTTTAGTAATGTTTTGTTAAATGTAATATGTGGCTTTAAAATCATTTGACATTCAAAATCAACATTTATTAAAAATATCCATTTTAAAAATAAACATTTATTTATCGGAGTCAAAAATTAATTTTTAAAAATGAAGAAAACGCAGTTGAAACGAGATTTAAATTCATTAAAAATGTATATAATAGAAAATCATATTTTTAAATCATAAGTTTGAGATGGAGATTTAATGTAATATAATGTTTAGTTTAATATTTTATTTTATAAAAATATAATTTTCGTTTTCATTAAGTACAGTTTGTTGAACAAAGTGAAGAGATTAATTTTATGAAAGACACTTTTCTTCTCATATCAGTCGAAAAGAGTATATTTCATTAATTAAACTAAATTTTCTGTAATCTATAATGTAAATAACGATTTTAAAAACCAAACGAATAGACTTCTTTTTAGTAAATTAATAGTCAAACATGGAATAAAAATGTTGAATAAAGAAAAATGTAACGAAATACATTTAAATATTTTGTTGAAATGAATACATAATTTTATATTTCTTTTTTAGAATGTATATAAAGCAAAAAATAATTCTCCTCTAAACAAGAGTTTTATTTAAAAAATGAGGTTTTTAAATAGATTTATATTTTCATTTTAAAAGAATGTATAAATTTAATCATGTCATAGAAGATTTTAAATTCTTTTCAAATACATTTTATACAAAATCTTTTTTTTTATAAAAATGTCTATATTTTAGAAAAATTCAAAACCAAACAAGGTATTTAAATTATTTATTCGATTAGACTCTTTATAATTTGAATTAATTTTACGCAATTATTTTTTTTTTTTCTCACTGGTTTATTTTTTAATTATTTTTATGAATCTCCATATTTTTAAATAGTGTATAAATTAATTATGTTAATTGAAATTATTAAATAAACTGATTATGTTTTGAATAAATTTATTAAATATATTATATATATATATACATAATTTATTTAAAAATTATTTTTGCTCCTCAATATTATATAAGGGCCTAATGGCCAAGTGATTAGCTCTTTGACGCTCAGTGCCACTGGTTTCGAGTTCGAGAACCGGCGGTGGCATGGAGTTTTGTAGTGGTTCAGAATCCATCTTTAACCATAGGTCCCAGTCTAATATTATTGTTGGACCCCGTAAAAAGAAAACATTTCCTGTCTCGGAATCTGTTAGAAGGCAAACGGCCTTGGTCCATCATGGTGCTGTTATGCCAAAGAAGAATGTTATATTAACATCGGGGATACTCTCTGTCATTTAGCTCCATATCGTGTTTAGTACATGGAGGTTAAGCACACCATGCTATTGAGTTTGGGATAGAAGTCGTCCTATTGATATTCAACATAGTATCTATAAACAATCTTCCA